GCTTTATTGCGGTTGTTTGCTAGGGTTAAGGAGAATTTGGCTCGTAGCTAAGCGCGATCCGTGTTGACCAGCGAGCGGCAGTCTTGAATTGACCCCCTACAGCGGTAGCTGATGGCGATGTGGTCTATTTGAATCCAATGTTGTGCAGAATTGGCGGTTTCTGTGCAAGGCGTGTTTTTAATACGCGTATGAATCCAGACTGTCCCAAACAGATCATAGTACAATAATCTTTATAAAAAAGGAGAAAGTTCCACGATTTGTTTGTGGGCGGAATGTTGCCAGGTTGCCTATGCCAAGATAGGTGAATTTTCTTGGGGAATTCACCACTGAAGCCTTTGACTAGCTGAAGTTTGACACAACCGTCGGTCAGTGTATACACCGATGCAACGAATAAGCATTCACGCTTCGTTCTGGAACTGCTGAACCATTGATACCTACAGCGCACAGTCGGCTACTGACTGGAATCCAGTCAATAAGCGAGCACTCAGTCTTGGCACTTAGCGCAATCCCAACATCAACAACACCGCGAGCGTCGGATGCCGGATCGCCTGGTACACGAAGGATGAATCGTGAGGATGAGGTTGGGTCAGGAGAACGCAGCGATGATTGAACTATGATCTTGTATGCGTGTTTCGAAGACGCGACACACGTCTTTATTGAATGTTTCACAGGTTCTAGCTACGGCAGCTTGCTGACCGATTTGGCAGTTTGCAGACTTTGAGCGCACCTAGGTGAAAAGGGATTTTCGGCTTCAAAAATCCTGTAAATTCTGATTGTTTGACCTTGTTGATAAAACGCTGTGATGTAAACAAGAGGCATCTGAGACTTTTCGGGGTTGAAAGGAAGAACTGGACAGACGGGAAGGAGGTTTTTCCAAATTGTTGCCTAAAACTTTAGGGCATGACATGCTTCGTGGTAACCATCCCGAATGAAAGGGCTTTTCTTTGGGAACCCTAACCGTAGCCTTTGACTCAAAAGTCTGGCCCACAGGGCAGTGGGACGTAGACCCAACGCGAGAGCCTAACCGAAACATCCGACTGGGAACCTCTAGAAATCTGTTACGCAAGGCCTTCGGGTTTCGATTCGCTGTATTGTTCGCTGGTGCGTTGATTTTCGGTCCGCTGTTTGGTATTGGTCTTCAGTCTCGTGCAACTGATGGGACTAATTGAACGTGGACGGAATAGCATCTTATTGGCTTTTCACCGAGCATGGCAATTTGTTTACAAACGTTTCATCATCACCCCAGATAACATCGTCAGTATCTGTGAAGTAGCCATTGTCTTGCTCGTTCTTTTATATATGTTCGATCCCAGCGAATATTTTCTTCCTGTGTTTGACCTGGTTCGCCGTCGAACTAGCACGTTGGGAGATGGAGGGGCGTTCTTCCGTTTGAATCGCGGCTTTTTGTCCGTTTTCGGGCCACGACAGCCCTTTTGCTTCTCTATTTGATCATCGACTTGCAGTTCGATGTTTCTGTTTACTGAGGCAATTGGAGAGTGCCAAGCCTCAAGAAATTCTCTGGCGTGTTTTGACCGAGGACAACTCGTTCATCAGAACGCCATCAGGAAACCTAAACTTCAAAAGTGATCATCCAAACAGCCACGAAAATACTGTTAATTCCCTGTTCGGGTGAATCCAAACGCACTAAACTACGGTCTAATTCAAAAAGAAAAAATCTGTCCAGAGTATTCGCTTGCGATGGCTACGACCGTAACTTCAAAAGAAATCTGACTTAAAGAACGAAATAAATGATAGACGGAGAATTGGGAGCAAGAACGACCCTGTCGTACGTCAAGGACGTTTCGAAAATGACAGTAAGACTGCTGAAGTGATACGGAGTACAAATCGTCCACAAGCCGACCAACTGTCTACGGAGCATTCTTTCATAACCAAAGGAGAGAACAGTGGTGAAATAAAAGAGAAATGTTATCTAAAAACCCAACTGAAAGGACTGACCAAAGCGGTGTCGGACAAACTGGAGAAAACTATTAACAAGGATCTGGGCACATCAACTTGCAGTCAGGAGGCATGACCTAATATCACTGATTCCCTCCCCGAAGATCAAGAAGGATATCAATTCAACTTCGAAGCAGTGACAATAATCGTCCAAGTCTGATTAAAACACACCAGAGAATTTCTTGGGTTTTGGCACTCTCCAATCAACTCAGTATACAGACACAATCAACTGGATCACATGTACAGGGCGGTGGTGGCCCGGTGGTAACGTCGCCAAATTATCACATCGGAGGACAAGTGTTCGAATCCCACCACCGCCGCCTGACTTTCCTCATTTGTGTGTTGTATGACAGCCCTTTGATTGGCCGCTTCTCCCTTCCTGAAAATTGTAGCATTGTGTATTCAAGAAAAAGGAAGTAAAAAGAAAAAAAAGAAAAAGAAACGATCGAAAGACGTCGAAAAAAGTCACATTGTGACCTGAGAGCGGATCCAAATCGCAATCAAGACGGAAGAACAAAGCCCCTCGCACCCGTTCAACGACGAACCGAGTCGAACAGTTAGAACAAAGGACAACAATAGTCGGTGGAGAAGAACACATGAACGAACGGGTACAAACAGAACACTGTCACTTCACACTCACTGACGACGTCACCCCGGCTGGTGATGAAAAGTTTGTAAAAAATATCCAAGTTCGGGGAAAATGAGTTGGAAAGTAGAAATGGAGATACATCTATGGTAATGCATTCCTCCTTTGAGAAACCAGAATGGCTCGTATGCCATTTTACTGCACTTGTATTTCTTCAGAATTCATCTAACAATTGAGAGGTGTGGTAATGTGGGAGATGGATTGAATAAGCAATGAAGCGAGATGTTGGTTTGCCACTCTAAGTGGGTTAAACTTGGTGATTTTAGAAAAGCGTAAAACGGTTGTCGATAGTACGGGGATAGTCGCCAGTAAGATTTGTGTCGAGACCTTGTCCATTGATCAAGCCAAGCCACGGTAAGGTAGATCGATCGTCATGCCCAGGCGTAAATGAAAGCGTTACAT